GATCCAGAGTGGTGGCTTGTTCAAAGTCATCTAGTGAATCTTAGGGCTGAGCAGGCATTTGAACCCCGTCTATATTAGCTATATCGTGCTGGCTTTCTAACCCCCCACAAAGTAAAATTGGGCCCAGTCCAGAGCCAGTGCGGCACATGCTAATTCTTGCCGCCTTCTAACAAAGTGCTTAATGAAGAACTTTTAAAAAATACAGATATTGACCCTAAGACCATTTTTTACAGTAGAAAATCCTTGGAAGTATAAAAATAAATGTACTGAAATATGCACTCTGAGCACAACATATTTGGCTACATTCCTTTGAAAAAATTCTCTAAGAACATCAAAGCACTAGTTTCTATGGTAACCCAAAAACAAATGCAGCTGCGAAAAGAATGTAATGTTAGGCAGCCTATATATTTTCATATTTGGAATGTTTACTGTTTCTTTAGAAGCTGACAATAAAGTCTCAAAGCTTGGAAAAGACATTCAGCTTAAATATGGCATTCTAAACCCAGCATCTTAACATTCACTATCTGAGAAATCTAATGGGACTCAGATAGACTTTACAAATAAATCTTGAAAAAGCCTTAATAAAAAAGGAAGTACTATACAGTGCAAATCCAAACACAGAATACTGTGTACTAGACTGATAATCATACCTGAAAGGACATTGTACAGGTTGAGAAGTGCAGAAAAGGGCAAGGCAGGGAGCAATCCTATGCTTATTTAGACAGGAAAAAGTCCTATAGCTCCCAGCATTCCTCAGTCTGCATGCTGGCTGTGGAATGTTGAACTTGGAGGACTTTTTTCTGTCTAAACAGGCATAGGAGGAGCTGAAACAAATCCCTAATAAGAAAAGGTTACAACATGTGGGACTGTTCAGATTAAGAGAAAGGGCAAAGGAGTGGAGACGTGATAGAAGTGAAGAAAAATATCATGTGGAAAAAACTGACAAAATGGCACTTCTCTTTCAATACTAGAACCCAGGGCATCCCATGAAACTACCTGACTGGCGAATCACAACAGATAAAAGGAACACTTTTTAATACAATGCATGATTAAACTATGGAATCTGCTCCAAGCTGTAGTGATGACCACCCATTTGGATCATTTTTAAGGGGCTTAAGTCCATTGGTGGTTCCTGCCAATATCAGAGGCAATGTGCCTATATACAGCAGGTGCTGTGGAACATGAGTGGGAGGGTCCTATTGCATCTCTGTCCTACTTTGGGTTTCCCACAGTCAGCTGTTGGTTACTGTGTGAGCAGAATGCTGGACTAGATGGTAACTGGTTCAAATAAAAGCATTTGAAAGTAATGAAATTTGGTGTGGTTTAGATGGTTTCTCAGGATCTCTTCTAATCCTCTTCCTGAATATAGGATTTCTGAGAGTACAGGGTTCAGGATGTCCTGAAGCAAACACCTGTTTGTTCATCTTCCCTAGGTGTCATGATTATTCACCGTGGTAATATTTTGATGCTGTATTATTATGGAACTTAAGATTTCACAGTGATAGACGAAGAAGACTCATTCTGATTCCCTGCTCCTGCATACATCTTTCTTTCTCAATCGTTTCATACAGCCCCAATCGCTTCTTTGGGGATGTGGCTGTATGCTTATAAGGCTGTATAGGAAGAAGCTGACAGCTTTGGGACTCAGGAGAGATCAGGCTGGCAAGAGCTTACTTGGAGCTTTGGAAACACCTTTAGGTCCTCCCCTGAAATGTAATGGGGAAGCAGAATCTCCTGGAGTGTTAATGAGATGAACCTCTATCTCATGCCCAACATAAATAAATGAGTAGGGATGCCATGAGCCATAAATCAGTCATTCACTGTATTGAAAAGAAATTAAATACTAGGTAAATGTGTGTCCCTGGAGTTGTTATTGCTCAGAGAATTGGAGTGGTGTGAGTGCAACAGAATTTACCAATGCAATTGTTTTGATATGGCTTAGGGTAATTGAGGATCAACTCATTTTTTTACAAGGTTGGCTTCCAATACTTTTTCTTTGCTGTACAAAAACTGGTTTTCCATACAGCCAAACATATACTTCCCATGTGCATATCATTACCGAACACTTCCCGGGACACTTTAAATTTCAAAGCTTGTCTGAGATGTGATCCAGTACCTATTTCAACATGTGTCAAACTAATTGAAAAAGCATCCCCATGTACCAAATGCCAGCACAGGATAGTTTTACCACATAAAAATGGCTCAGCAAATCAGCTTGGATTGGTGAATGCACTGAACACTGTCCAGATGTGCCTGATGTTAAATAAAAACACAGTCTTAACCATCTCTCAGGATGCCCAATAGCTGAACTAAAGCTGCATTTTAACCTTGTTAAATGGTGCACATGCATCATTTCTTCACTGGATCAGACTCTGATGGTGAATGTATGTGCACAGGTCCCAGAGAGGTTCTGAAGGACCTTGAGCAAGATACTCTCAATGGCCACCCCTTTTCAAGAACCCAGCCTTTCCCCGCCATAGTCACCAGTGGCTATTGATCCTTATCCTCTTATTCATGAATGACACTTACTTCCTTGAGAGGCAGAAAAGCAGGAGGCAAGGTGGCATCTCCTCTTCTCCTTTTCACTACCACCATCGTATGGGCCAGAGCAAACCACATGAGAACAAATGTGGAAGGGGAGCAACAATTCCAGGAAGCTTATGTGAAGAGCTTCCTTCTGGGATGTGGGCCCTCACCAGCTGTCCAGCCAGATTTTCTCTTGATGCTGGCCTTGCCTACATGCATTTTTTGTTCAGGTATAAACCTGAACTCAATTCTTATATGTTTACACTTTGTTTCTGATGCAGGAAATTGCTTCTCTTTCTTCAGTCATGTCCACTGAACCTGGTAGCCCTTTCAAACGTGGTTTTCCTACTTAGTTGGACTTATTCCTTAATAATTTCCTTGGAAAATAGCATTGTTTTGATCTCAGATGTATTTTTTATTTTATGGCCTGCACTACTATTCTACAGAAATTAAAAACAATTTAGGAATTCATAATAGGTCCAGTTATGTTCCTGAATTTATCAAGCCAGGGAATACAATCCACTATCTTAAGTACAAACCCCAGTTACTTGTCACAGTCTGTATCCATAAAAGTTTGTTTTTTTTATGGATAACCAAAACTCAAATAAATATGCAAGTGAAGTGGCATTTGGACTGGGTATTTTGATACATGTGAATATAACTGACTTGCTAAATAGCAGTAAATATAATTTAAATGAGCATTACAGGTGGAACAAATGTAAGCAGATTATTCCATGTAATTTTTTCCAAGGCAACCCTTTCAATTTTCTAATATATTTGGGAAAGCTGTGTCTGTTATAAACCCCCTGATATGCAGCTGCCAAAAATTACATAGAGATGCAAGCTCAACCAGTGGGATTGTGTTTTCCTTCTGTAAGCATTGACTTGGCTTTGCATAGCACACTGGAGAATTGATTACACCTATAAATACAATCCTGGCTCTGTACCATATCTCCCTCCTTTAGGTAGCATAAGATAAGACAGTTTATGTAAGTGCAGATTAAGTGCATGTGGCATGCAAGGAGCTTCCATGCAAGGAGCTAAGCTAGCTGAAACATCTTTCGCCAAAAACAGCCTCTTTTATCTCTAGGAGCAATGAATATGCTGGGTTTTGAAGAAATGATTTGCTGGATACCACTCTAATGCCCACAGTGGTGGTGGTTTTTCTTTCTGCACTGGGAAGTAGTACTGCATCATCTGCAAATTTGGAAGGTGATCTGTTTGGATTGCATGACCATAACAGAGTGCTGGTTTCTGCTGCTATCTAGAATGGTAAATCTACTCAGAGCTACCCAACTATTTTCCAACCCAGCCCTCCATGTTTGTGTGTGCTGGCTTTTTGTAGTTCTGCTCTTGGAATCTCTGAACTAGTAAAATCAGGAATTTGATTTCAAAGCTCATGCCTGCAGAAAGAGAAGAGGGGAGTCCTACAATGCACGAATTAGCCTCCCACAACACATGGTTACTGGATTCCCTTTATGGAACCTGAGGACTGCCCTGCACAGCTAGGACCAAATGTCTATTGGTCTATTCCCAGAAATCTAAGTTCCTGTTCCTAAAATCAGGAATAGGGAACAGTTTCCTGTTGCCAATTTCCTTTGGGGATTATCAGGGCCATAAAGTGGTGTCAGGTGGAACCAGAATCAAGACTTGTCAAGGGCACTCCCTCCTCCTCCTCCTCCTCTCTCTCTTTCCAAGCCTCTTTCCACATTCCAGCCCAGTCAGCTGCTACAAGAAGAACAGACAACACTTGCCAGAATCTGATTGCTTACCCAGGGCTTTTGATTGATTGCCCAGGGCTGTAAGTTGTCCCCTCCTGCCTGAAAGGGAGACTCAAGGGTCAGTCCTACAGCACTTCGGGAACATGCACACAATCTACACAGCAAAGGGCAGCTCTTCATTCCAGGTAGTTTGTACCACACCACTGCTCAAAATAGTCCCATAACCTTACATAAAACAGACAGCCAAACTTCACATGGTATTTATTAGTGACTTGCAAGAGACATTTGCTCAGTTTATTTTGCTATAGAATGTTTTTTAGAAAGATCTAAAGCCTCTGAGGTAGATCAGAAGGCAAAGCAGTGTTCTTTCTGGTTCACACATTATTCCTGGAAAGAAAACCTGGCCAGTTAGCCTTCAGTTTTGCAGTTGCACAGAGTCTCTTTGTTACTCTGACTTATACACACAGATACAGACCACAAACTGGAAATGTTCCTTAGCTTTTTTTTTTTCGGTCTGAGTTAGAAAGCTCAGAGTTGTATGAATGCCCCACACAAATTAGCTTTTTGGCATGTCTTGTAATGAAGTTTTTCATGTGATTAGTTGCTGGTATAGTAGAAAAGATAAGCATTACAAGTATTACAAGTATTTCAAAGATCTGCATTATGTTGGAGTATGATCCTATGGAAAGACAAAATGTACTACTGTTACGATACCATGTTTTAAAGCTTCATTTCATTTTCAAAATGTCTTACCTTCTATTGCTGATAAGAGAACTCGGGAATGATCATAAGCAATAACATTCGCATATCTATTCTTTGGTTTATTTACTTCCAGGTTAGAATGTTCCCATGTGAACTGCTGCCCTGGGTCAATTGACTTTTAAAAAGAGAAAAAGGTAGGGGTAAAGAGAAAGAAAGAGTTGTTATTATCCAAAGAATCACCTGTTAATACTTATGGTTTATGAAATGTTAATTTGTATTACCTGACTTAAAGCACGTTACTATGGGACCAATTCCATGATTTTTCATACTGACACTTATGGATAATCACATTCAAGGCACAATCCTAAGCAAGTTTATACAGGAAAAGGGCCCATAACCTCCTATTATGCCAGCCAGTGTGTGCTGGGTGCTGCAGGCCTTTTCTCTGTCGAAACATGCATATGATTGCGTTTAGCCACTTGCTTTGCACAGATCTTTGTCGTTATAGGTTGTTGTAATACAAAACAGGACAAAAATCAGTGCAGGAGATGCTTTATTTTGTCAAAAAAATATGGAGGTAGGGGTGTGTGTGTTTAAGGGAGAAAGAAGAAAACCAAGAGAACAATGGAAGGCTCATACTCATTTAACCATAACATTGGAAATTCCATCCCAGATTTTAATGAGCTGGGGTACACAGCAGAAACAGTTAATTTTTGTCTGTAAATAGATGTAAGAGAGAATTAGCTACCTCTATATTTCAAACAAATCCATTTTACCATGGGGTTTGTGGTTATGATCTAAAATCTCTAAAGAAAAAGCAATTTTTCATGACAGGTTAAAAAACCTCTCATGCTGCTATCAAAGAGATGACATTTCTGTAAATTCTACCTATATTACAGCAATCCTATACAAACCATGTATTTGTTTGCACAAAATCCATGTTAAGGAACAAATTGCATATACAGAACACAGCCAGACCCCACTCAATAAAACTAATGAGAACTGAAGTACACTTTCCCAGACAGACAAATCTGGCTAAGAACAGTTGTTTCACACAATGGTATAATTCAAACAATATGAAAAACTAAAAGGAGATAATGGAGAAACTACTATTTTTCAAGGTCTTTCTGGTGAACACTGGTGCTGAAGGCCAATGTTTATTTCACCATGCAAATTAATTACCCCTGAGCATGCAAGAAATAGGCAACAGGCCATAACTGCTGTCATGTGTAGTCTTGCTCTTAGGTTTTTTCAGTTTTATCTATACTTTAGAACCTGGTCCTATTTCCTGCTAATAAGCTTGTTGTTGTATAGGACCACACCGTATTCGTGTCTCCATGAACTGGTGCAGTGCTATTAATCACTGCATTACACTGTACCAGAAAAACACATTCGCTGAAGCCATCTCTGTGTACCAAAACTGGATGGAGGAGGAGGAACTGTGAATCTTTGAGGGTAGGGAGATGGAAGACATTCTTTCCAGGAGGGAAGAGCAACTGATAGCCTTCCAGATGTTCTGGCCTACAAATATGACTGGGAAATAGATGCAAATTTCATGGCTGAGGGGTCTGTGCATGGGAAATATAATGCAAAGTTCCCCTCCATTTACTTCTCAGCCATGATATCTCAATATATTTCTCCTCTTTATTATATTTATATCCTGCTTTTTCCCCTTCCCAAACTTGAAAACTCTATACAGTATTTTTCAGTCTCGAAATATAAGCTTTTTTGGCAATTTTTAAACTAAGAAATATATGCAAATTCCATAGTTGGAGAGTAAATGGAAAAGAAAAGTATATATTCATGGGTGGGAAGTAGATGTGCAGGAAATCTGCATTATATTTCCTTTCCATTCACTTTGTAGCCATGAAACCTGAAAATATTTCATCTCCATTTACTTCTTAACCATGATATTTACATATATTTCCGACAAAAAAGAACACTTTTTTTCAGACATTTGCAAACAATAGGAGGTAATATTTCTCCTTTCTGGGATAGCGAGGAAATCCAGGAAAGGGTTAAAAAGGTGGCAGGTTGTTTGTAATTTCTGCATTTAAAAAAATAGCAGCAAACTAAAGGAGCAGCAATCAGAGAGGGGAAGGAAAGAAAAACAGGCTATAAGCAATACTGGCTTAAGTACTGCAATTATGCAATACCAGCTGAAAGACCAAGGGGGCAGGAGGGGGAGAACAATCTCTCAGGTGCACCAGAGCCTGTCCTTTGAACACACAGTATATTATGGGTTATTTACAGGATGGCTGAACAGGATGTGTGAATGAGGCCATTGAATCAAGAGGCTTTGCTGGCTTGGGTTAGCTGCAGTGTGGGGATCCCTTGAAAGTTGAAGGACCTTCCCAGGGGTGAAGCTGTCCTACCCGGTCCCCTCCTCTCACAGAAAGCAGATCCTAGATCCAAGCCGATGTGAGGTTTGTTCCTACTTTCCTACAGTAAGGAGCATGCCTTAAGTATGCAATGGTGAAACTGACTTTCAAGCATACACTGGAAAAAGACAGAAAATTAGTATATATTTTAGGAAACCCAAGGAGTGCACCCTCCAAATTAATAATTTTCTATCATATAGAAAGACTGGGTGGAAGAAATTTATTGGCACATTGCTGAGCAAAACATCTTGTAACCTTACTCCAACTATGCTGCAATCCCAGTCATAGTTCCTAGAAACTAAATCCCAATGGATTCAGTGGGGTTCACTGCTGGTTAAACATGATTAGACTTATGCGTTTAATTTTCAAAAACTAAAATCAAAGACAGGGAAACAACCCTGAGTTAGCTGTCTACTCTCTGTTGGGTCACATCAATATATTAAAGTAGAGCATTTTTCTTGTGAACACAAACGCAACAGGATTTTCCCAGGCCTGAGGGAGAGAGGGAATGTGCCATGTTTAGTTCACATTAATTGTGAAGAAATCCAAGAGGAAATCCAAGGCAACAAATTCCATTATTAGCTGGGAGATGTTTGAGGAAGTGATTACTGGCAGCAATAACAAAGTGAGAATAAGGTGCTTCTATATAGAATAAGCTGGTACTGTGATCATTTTTTCTCAACTGAACCACTTATGTGTGACCAGCATTACGAAGAGAAAGCTTAAAAGATTAATGTTTTAAGTAGAAGTAAAATGAAGAAGAGTTAAAAAAATGCCTGTCCTTATTCTCTTAAGCTTTTGTTATTTATTTTTTTTAAATTACAAGATTCTCTATTTCCTACAGAGCAAAGAGATTTATTTACCATTACTCATGCTTTTAAGAGCCAGTTCCATAGCTCGGGATATGTTGACTTCAAAAACAGGCAGTGCAAAATTTCTGTTTATTATTTCCTGCATCTCCATGTTCTCTAGCAGCAACTGAAGTATGCCATTTTCTAGGACTGGTCTTCCAGCCCACATGACTTTATTTCAATTGGCACAGTTATTGTTAGAAAAATCCCAACTTCCTATGTCAGAAATCTACCACAAAGCATCTTTGAACACTCAGGGCTGATGCATGCAGTTTGTTTCTTTGCAGGCCTTCCAGGCTAGATAAGCTGTATTTAAAATCTAGACAACTTATATCACTGATTAGAGGTAAGGTGCAGCTGCATCTTATAACAGTAGTTGCCTCTTGGCACCACACCAAGGAGATAAACTATAATTGATGCTCTTTAAAGCTCCCCAGGGCTCCATTGTGCACAGAGAGTATTCTCCAAGGGTCTTTCCCATTCTTATTAGAGCCAGGAAAAGCTCCACATGTACAGGCAAGGAAGAAGAGCTACCAATACTGTAAATAATAGGGAAGCACCTGCCCACACAGGGTTCCTGCAATATGCATCAGGGTCCCTGCAAGCACACCAGAGCCATTACACTGCAGTTAATGACTTCGTAAGCCTGCAAAGTACAGGTTGGCACTAAACTAGACAGTGTGTAGAAAATCAAGCTGCTTGAAGAAAGTAGACAAGAAAAGGTTTTGTTCAATTCAGCTTAAGCTCTTGGGGTGGAGAAGAGCAGCATTTTTCCCGTCTATCCTTGTTCATCCCACTCCTTGGCTACTAATCCCATGACTCCAGACGTGATCCTTAAGTGGCTTTGGCTGTCCAGCCTTGATCGTTATCTTTAAGAGGCTCCAGCTGTCACGGGCTGCAGCAAAGAAGTGTGTGGGATTTTACCATGTGAAATAAAACTCCAGAAATTCACAGGTAAAAATAGGTAGAACTCACTTTTATTTTGGATGGGGGAGCAAGGGTAGGCCTTTGCAGTCATTGTGTTCTGAAGTTTAACACAGGTGCCAGGGGGCACTGATGAGCATGCTAGCTTGGCCAGAATTCTCCGTTTCCGTTCTTTTTGGCCTAGTTTTAGGGTTCTACATTGTGAAAGAGCTTGCACAAGGCTGGGGGTGGAAGAGATGCATCTTGGGTGCTAGTTCCTACTCTTGTGCCTTATGTATAGTTAATCTCAGGAATGGAACTCCTGAATAGGGTTGAGGAGGGAGGAAGGCCAATGAATTAGCTTACAGGTTGTACATTGACCACAATCAAACAAGCCAGCTTGTCTTCAGTATGGAAAATCAGCCTTGCTCATGGCCGATCATGAAATAAATAAATAAAGCCCCAAGAGATAATTGCACAATAACCTCCGCAAGCACCAGTGCGAGTCCTTTGGGGTTAGGAAAGGCAGTGATACAAAACCTCAGGCTTTTGGGGGCTGAACAATGAGAAGATTACATTTCTTCTTACATGAGATGATGCAAGGGATGCTTCCAAAGTTGCCTTGCCTCATCCATGCAATTTTATGGGATGGGGAGACGGACACTGTCTTCTACTTGTAGTCTTTGGATGCTTTCCCACTACTAATTCAGCCACAGAAAATGAGAAAGAGGGAATAATTGCATAATACCTTCAATCTGTAGAGGTCCTCTGGAAATACTTTAAGACTAAGAACTAGCCTAACATTTTTAAACAAAAATTGGTAAGGGTAATGAACATCATCAAATAAACTATCTAAGTGAACAGGGAGAGAAATTTGTACGCATTCTTCAGTCACATGGTCAAGGCACATCAATCGCAGCTCGTCAGAACTCAAAAGTTCAGCTGATTTGGTATTTTGAAAGGCTATGTGAATTACGCTGGCCATACAGCACTGTGCTAGCTCTGGGTGAGGTAATGAGGTGCTGAGTTTAGCAACCTAACTGAAGGATTCACATTGTCTGATATTTTCTTGCAGTACTGATTGTATATAAGTATCTTGCAAATTACTTTACAATCTAAAGTGTCACTTACAGTTCCCTCTCCAATCTCAACAAGAAAACTAAAATTCTGTGGAAAGCACAAAGGTTTCATTTGCAACAAACATGATTTTCCATATTTGATTTTATCTCAACGAACTTAAATGATCTTTTACTTCTCTGTTAAGTATCTCTTTAGAATAGTTGCAAATCTGATTTTATGTAAATAGTTCATGATGGATAATTTAAAACTGTCAAGCCTGTAGTTTATTTTTTAAAATGATAAAATCAAGAAAGAAGCATTTTGGACTGTATAAACAAAATCAAATATTTAACACAATAAAACCTTGTTTTCACGCTATCAATATATGCAAGAATTGCTGTCTTTTGTTCTCCAGCTATCCAGCTAATCTTACTGTCAGATCATTGTATTACACTCTTTTCTGTGTTTGTGTTTCCATATTTTTATGACCTAATTTGTGCTGATCGTATTGATTTAGAGTAGAATTATTGCATTATCCTGCTCACTGTGAATGGCTAAAAATCACCATCATCATCCTCATCATCATCATCATCTCCTCCTCCTCCTCCTCTATATTGCTCAATAGCTGAAGCTTTCTCAGTGATTTCCACTAGCTCTTAAAAACAGTAGAATGAAATGCAATAAAATCATATTAACAATAAAAAAATTCTAAAAAGAACAGATTAAAAAAAAAAAAAACCCAAATGGCCTTGTAAGAATATCTAGGTTGGATAATCCACTCAAGCCCTTGAATATCTGGGTGTATTTTTTAAAACTTTCACCATTACTGGCCACCTTAACTTGGCACCTAAAGATGGCAGGGTTGGTGCCAGGCGGGGCTCAGTGAGATCATTCCATATATGGGGGAGAGGGCACCACGGAGAGCCTGCTCACCATCTGAGTCTTTGTCAAAGCCCTGGCAGACAATGCAAGTAGGCCAGAACTACTCTCGTATACTCAGGCTTCTCAGCCCCAGTTTCTAAACTGGTTTCTGTATTCTGTATGAGTTGCAGTTTCTGAGCATCTTTCAAGGGCAGCCCCATGTTCTTTGCATTGCAATAATCAAATTTATAGATTACCAGAGGCTACTTTTTTTAACCAGGGTATCCCAGAGAGGGGTATAAGCTGGGCTACCAACCAAAGCTCGTGGAAGACACTCCATGCCAGTGAGGCCACCTAACCATCAAGTGACAAACAGGTATCAGGGAGAACCCCAAGCTATGAACCTGCTCCTTCAGGGGGAGCACAACTCCATCCAGAACAGGTAGAACATCTGGACGGATGACCCACTTGCTAACAGCCTTGCCAGGATGGATGTTCAATTAGTTAGCCCTCACCCAGTCCATTGTCATAGTAAGGCGCTGGTTTAGCATATCCACAGCCTCAGCTGATGAGGATAAAAGGGAGAAATACAGCTGTGTATCATCAACATACGTATGGCACCACACTTCAAACCTCCAGATATCCCCATTCATAGAAAAGTAGGGTCCAAGAACTACATCAGGTCTAACCCCCTACAAGAAGGCCACCAAGTCACACCATCCCACTCAGACAACTGTCCAGTTTCACCTTAAACGTCTCTAGTGTGGGAGAGTCCACTGGTTTCACTGTCATATTGCTCTGGCAGTTAGAAATCTTTTCCTGGTGTCTGGCATGAATCTCATGCACTGCAGTTTGTTCTCTATCCTGCAGCTGTAAGCTGGACTATCCTGCATTTTTGGGTATACTGTTATTAGACCCTACTTGAGGCTTTCTCTCTGCTGTGGTACATAACTCATTGCCAGTTGACACTATGCCCTAATATACATCTCTCTCCCTTCTGTGATTTAGTTTAAACCCGCCTAAGGAACTTCTTAATGTTGTAGCCAAGCTCATCCTTTGAGAAGTGCAACCCACCATTTGCCAGAAGTCCTTTCTTCAGGAAGTTTAGCTTGTGGTCCCAGAAACCAAAATTCTCTCTCTGGAACCACTGTTATAACCAGGTATTCACTTCGAGTATTTTTCTTTCCCTATTATTTCCTCTTCCCCTAACTGGCAGGATTGGAGAGAAGACTATCTTGGACCCACTGTTCTTTATTTTCCTTCTTAGAACTTTGAAGTCTGATGTTATTTCCTCAATATTTCCCTTGGCTGTGTCATTTATTCCCACATGGATGAGAAAGAAGAGATACTCATCAGAGGGGTGTGAGTTGCATGCATCTGTTGGTTATATTGTTGATCATGGCTCCAGGGAGACAGCACACCTGGCGTTTTCCCAGGTCGACTCGACACACATATTTATCCATCCCTTGCAATGCAGAGTCTTTCATAACTAGCTCTTTTCCTTTGTTGTTGCAAGCTTGGGTAGCATATCTTATGTGCCTTAGCTTAGCTTGTGTCTATTTTGTTGTCTTTTGGTTTAGGTAGAGTCTCTCATGTTTGGTTGTTCTTCAATCTCTTCTACAGGGTTTCTCAGTGTATTTAGTAGTTTCTCCATAACTGGTTGTTCTCGCATCTCTTCCTTATCACAAAGCAGTTTGAGACTTTTCACCAGTTTCTCAGTTGTAGTGTGGTGTCCTGCAATACCAGGGGGTTGGACCCGATGGTCTTCATGGTCCCTTCCAACTCTATTATTCTATTAGTCTTTATGTTGGTGTCTGCCACTTATTTCCAAGGTGGTTTCATGGCTTTTTCTTTTCCTACAGAGTTCACAGTCTTAGATCATTGTTGCCTCTCTAGTAGCTCATCTGTTTGTATGCTTGTCTTTGGTCAGTTCTAGGGTGGCTAGTCACAGCTCAGTTGCCTTCTGCTTTTCCTCTAGATAGGGTTGGATTTGTTTTTTTGTAGATAGGGTTGGTATCAGTGAGAACAAACATCTTACAGTCATTACATCCCACGTCCACTAGGGGCCCCCTCTGCCCATTTTTTTGGTGGTGGTGCTTTTACAGCACTTGGAGATATTAAATCGCATGGGAGACAGAAAAAAGCCTGGAACAGAACCCCATGCCAAAGAACCTCCTGTGAACTTGCTACTTGAATGATCTGCTCCTTGCAATTCTTCCTGTAAAGCACACTGATAGGAATCTGGTTGCCCCTTCAACAGTTGCTCTTAAATTTCCCTTGATGTTAGTTTGCACTCCCAATGAAGATGGGGTAGGATATTCATTTTTAATTCACTCACATGATTTTCTCATTTCCTTTTCAACACAGTTATTGCATGTATGAAAATGAAAAGAAACAAAATAATAAGAGAAAATAATTCATTAACTACCCTCCATGGTAACAGGTACTGAGAGACTATTCATCAGTATACTCAGTATACTATTCACCTGGTATGCTTGAAAGGAAGGATTCAAGGGGAAAGCTAGCTATGAGGAAGGCTTTAATCAGCACTGGAATGGACCTTTGCTGAACAGAACTGATTTCTGAACAAGCACGCTAGGACGTTCCAAGCCAGAGGAAGGGTATATATCTTATTGAGTCTTATCTGGAACCATCATGCATATTCTACTTTTGGATTTTTTTAAATAAAGGATTCAGCAGTACTAAAAGGTTATAGTGTGGAACAGGTGTAAAAACCATCCTGAGATTCAATTTCCAGTGCTTCCAGAACAAAACTCCAGGTTTAGAGTACAGTAAAAGCAATGAGTACAAAGGGCTGGGGCGGGGGGGGGGGGAGCAAAAATAATCAGAAAAATGGTGATGGCTGAAACAATGCAACAGCCCAACAATGGTAAAGGCCCACTGTGGTTTGTTGTGTTGTCTGAAGTCAGGTGGTAGCTAATACACAGCTTTTTCAAAAAATTCACTGTAATATATTATGATATGCCTTAACATAAATGTAAATCATATTCACTTTGAAGTGGGGGGTAACATGCCTGGGTCTATCAAATATTATTTAATTCTGCATATAAACATGGTTACCAGTATTCCTGTGAAATCTAGGAAAATCAACCATAACTATAATCTTTGGCCTTATTGTTTAAAGCTAATCATACCCCAGGAAAGACCTCTCTACAGAGAGTAAGCTAATCTGCATTTCTTGGGTTTGAATAACCATCCCATAACAAAGAATAGAATTATACTGGCAGAAACATCCTACAAGTGTGAAAGACCAATAACTCAGGAAAAATAAGCCTGTGCCAACAGTTTTAATGAGTGCTCTAATGGTTTAATGGATGACACTTAAATGGAATTCCTAGTAGATTCATTCCGAAAGCTTGTCTTCAATAAAGCTGTCATTTCCAGAAGAACTAGATTTCCTGGCAGAAAATTCATGCGTAGTACACTTACACATGATAAACATATTTTATGAAAAGGTATTTGCACTTCCATTGCAACATTTGCATGTTCTCACTAAGGTTCTAGCTGGTTTCCATTGAAAACATTGCATTGTTTCAGAAAGCAGCCCTGGATTTTTGTTGGTTGCTATCTAGATCAGCCTTCCCTAACCTGGTGTCCTGCAGATGTATCAGGACTACAAATTCCAGCAGTCCCAGAGAGCAGATCAACTGGTTCGTGGGCTGAGGATGATGGGAACTGTAGTTCTAACACATCCAGAACATGCGAGGTTGAGAAAGACTGCACTTCACCAGAACCGCTTGACCTGTTATACAGTAGTGCACCTTGGAAGGCTTGCATTCAGACTTGAGCCCCAAGGTACGATCCTTTATTTAGCAGCATAATAAAGGGCTAGAGACCATTTTCATTTAGGAGGGCATCCCACGGCACACTGTAGGTGCCAAGTGGTCATGAAACTGCACAAGCAAGTTTAGACACACTACAAAATATGGAAAAAGAGGGAAATACAGAGCTATGAAGAAATTCTTTTTCAGCAGTAACTTGTGTCAGACATCCATCTTAGAATAAAAATCGTTACTGCCATT